TGCCCCAAGAACCAGCTTGTTTTGCTGGTGCCTAGAGCTGGCCCTGCCTGTCGTGTCCCCCCACCCCGCTACTATGGAGATGGGGTAAGTGGGGAGCAGGAGCAGGGGGGAGGGGGACACCCTGACAGCCCCCCTATTCTCCCCACACACACACACAGCAAACAGGAGGCTCCGGGGAGCAGCACCAAGGCAGAGGGCAGAAGCAGCACATGGCAGTGAGGGGAGGGACAGCTGAACTGCCAGCAATTGATAGCCTGCTGGGCAGCTGCCGCACAGGGAACTTAAGGGAGCAGGGAGCTGATTAGGGGGCTGCCGATCCACCAGTTCGAAGCCCCCACCAGCTAATTCCAACGGGCTGCTCTTTCTGCAAGCAGTGAACAAAGCAAGCGGCTGCCAAACAACGTTATAAGGGAGCACTGTGCAACTTTAGACGAGCATGTTCTCTAATTGATCAGCAATGAAACAACGTTAACCGGGATGACTTTAAGTGAGGAGTTACTGTATAGGATTGGCAGGTGTCCGGTTTTTGACCGGAACGCCCAGTCGAAAAGGGACCCTTGCTATTGGGCTTGCAATTTCATGTGCCAGTTCCTTTAATATTGTTGGATGGATTTAGTCCATTAAGCTGTTCGAGTTTCACTCAACCTTGGATGTGGTAATTTCTACTTCCATATCCTCATTCCCATTAGCCATCCTGCCACTACCCCTAAGCTCTTCATTACTCTTATTAAAAACTGAGGGGAAGTATTTGTTTAGGTATTGAGTCATGCCTAGATTGTCTTTAAATCTCTACCCCATCCTCAGTGCTTAGCGGTCCCACTTCTTTCCTTGTTTTCTTTTTATTTATATGGCTATGTAGAGCCTTTTATTATTGGTTTTAATTTCCTTTGCAAGATCCAACTCTGCTTGGCTTTTGGCTACTCTCACTTTATCCCTCCACTTTCTGACCTTTCCGTGCTCATCCATCCCATCTTCCATTCCCTGTAGGATTTCTGCTTTCTCTGTTTGAGATGCTTGCTCCTCCAGCTTGGTCTGCAACCCTTCCCTATGATTTTTTCCCCTTGCTTGGGATGCAGGCTTCAGTGTTACCTGCACAAAATTCTCTGTTACTTGCATGCTTTAGGGGCACCCACCTTTACCCAGTTCCTAGGGCTTAAGGCGTAACCTTATACTGTAGAGTGCCCATCCTTACCCTTTTCCTAGGGCTCAGGTTTAACCCTCTTAATTTAGGCACCCACCCTCACCCTTCCGTGGGCTCTGGGAGTAACCTTACACTCTACGGGTTTGCAGGGTCTTTTACCAGTGAAACAGCCTTACACAGTAATGTTCTACTTAACCTCTATTTATTAACAATTACCAAAAAAAAAGCACACATTAAACATACAATGCTCACCACTCCCAGTCCAAATAAGGCAGTTGAACTTTTCTTGATGGCCAGTCAGGATCAGGAGGACTCTGGGGGACTCCAGTTTCTGCACGGTGTTATTGGCAGTGTTGAGGTCTGGTCGCTCTAATCTTGGGGCTGTGTCCTGGAGTTGGTTCCTAAGAATTTCTTTTTGGACCCAGTTTATATCGTGAAACTAGAGTCCTGCTGAGCTATACCTTAACCAATCATTTTACTAACATTTTACTAAGCAAGCCTAACATATTGCAACAAAATTCTCTAACCAATCATACCCCAGCACTTTAATTTACACCTAGCAAAATTAATTATGTAACCAACAGAAACAATCAAAGAACCAGACAGAGACCATACAAACAATAGAGAAGTGGGGAACCATAATGACAATAACAAAAAAATGAGGATTTCACAACCACAACTGTTGACAAGTGATTTCTTGCCAGACAGAATGCTGCCAAACTAAGTTTTCCTTAACCAGCTTAAAATCTGTTTCTTTATCTGGTGATGGTGGGAGCTATTAGGACAGGATCTCCTTAACAGCCCGATATTACATTAAAACAATGTAATTTAGATGGAATGTGAGGATGACACTTCCTGCTTCTTAGCTAATGGCTGCCGCTCTCCTAATATGGCTGCAGACAAAGGCCTGATGCCCTACAATATGGCTACAGGAAATGGCCTTATTGTTACATCAGATAGTTTCTGCAATATTGACTTAAAGTAATTCCAAGCCTCCTCCACATTCAAATCCTTGAGTTCTTCAGTCCAGTCCACTTCCCTAGCTAATTCCCTTAATTTTTTAAAGTTTGCCCTTTTGAAATCAAGGACCCTAATTGCAGATCCATTTTTGTTTAGTGCTCCATTTAGTTTAAACTGAATTAGCTCATGAGCACTCAGACCAAGGGGTTGTCCCTTATAATCAGTTGTATGAGATCTTCACTAATACCAAATCTAAAATGGCCTCACCTGTTGTTGATTCCGTGACTATTTGGTGAAGAAATGTCAGTATCGCATCCAAGAAAATATTGGCCTTATTATTATTAGTTGCACTTGTCCTCCAATCTATGTCTGGGAAGTTGAAGTCTCCCATAATCACACAATTCCCAGTAGTACTTATTTCATTAAAAACATTAAAGAGGTCTCTATCCATATCCAAATCAGACCTTGGGGTTCTGTAGCACACCCCAAGCACTATTCCACAGGAACTTCTAGTAACTTTCTTCCCCAAAGTAATTTTGACCCAAACAGATTCTGTTTTATCCATTCCATCACTTCTAATTTCTCTAGTCTACCTCATCATTAATATACAATGCTACTCTACCACCCTTATCTTTATTTCTGTCTTTCCTAAACACAGGGCCGGTGCAAGGAAGTTTCACGCCCTAGGCGAAATTTCCACCTTGCACCCCTCCCCCCTGAGGCACCCCCCCACGGCAGCTCCCCACCCAGGGAGCCGTGCGGCAGCTCCCCACCCCAGCTCACGTCTGCTCTGCCTCCTCCCCGAGCACGCCGCCCCCGCTCTAATTCTCCTCCCCTCCCAGGCTTGCAGCACCAAACAGCTGGTTGGCGCTGCAAGCCTGGGAGGCAGGAGAAGTGGAGCGGCGACCGCGCGCTCGGGGAGGAGGCGTAGGAACGCTGTAAAAAAAAATTCAGAGCACCGGTTTTTGGCGCCCCCAAATCTTGGTGCCCTAGGCAACCGCCTAGTTTGCCTTAATGGTAGCACCGGCTCTGCCTAAACAACACATACCTTCAATACCTGTACTCCAGTCGTGACTACTATTCCACCATGTTTCTGTTATCCCTCTAATATCTGGTTTCACTTCCTGCACCAGTAGTTCTAGTTTCTCTATTTTGTTACTCAGGCTCCTTGCATTGGTGTACAAACATCTTAGTTGTTTCTGCTTGGCAAATTGGTTGAAACTATAGTAAAGAACAGAATTACCAGATCACTGACCTATTAGTTCTCATCCTTAAAGGAAACCTGCACAACATTTTCAAAAGATGAGCCTGGGATCTTAAATTCACTACTCTGCTAGATGCTAAGGCCATGTCTACACTACAAAATTATGTTGGCCTAACTTATGTTGGCATACATTCATCACAGTTATTAAATCGCTTGTGTGTGTGCATGCTTGGTTCCTTGTGTTGGCAGTGCACGTCCCTACCGGGAGCGCTTGTATTGTAGTGTGGGGCATTCTGGGATGGCTCCTGAAAGCGAGTAACAATTGATGTAAACAAAGCAGTGTCTACACTGTCACTGCGTTGACCTAATTACATCAACCGTGACTCTATGCCCCTTGGGGAGGTGGTGTTACTTAGGGGAGGTCTACACTTAAAACGCTGCATCGGCACAGCTGCATCGCACTGTAGCACTTACGTTAAGATGCCCCTATGCTGATGGGAGCCCTTCTTCCATCAGCATAGTTAATACACCTCCCTGGGAGGCGGAGCTATACTGACATAGCGCTGTCTACATGGGGGTTTAGGTCAGTATAACTGCGTTGCTCAGGGTGTGTGGATTTTTCACACCTCTGAGCAACGTAGTTACACTGATATAGGTCTGTAGTGTAGACCTGGCCTAAATTGGCATAGAGAGGCACTTATGTTGGCGGAAGCCAAACTTAAGTGAAGACACTTCCACAGCTAGGTCAACACAAGGCAGTTTATGTTGACCTAACCATGCAGTGTAGACCAGCCCTGAAAATCATAAACTGAATAGGGACACTGGATTTGTGGTTTATTACAACAATCTGTAACCCACTAACCCCCTCTTTTTGTTTATGACTGCGGAAGTGTTAATGGGCCACTCTACCTTGAATAGTCTTTTACAATATGTGCTAACTATGCTAAACAATCTGTTCCACCTTGCATTTTGCTGCAAGCTGGGAGTTCCTTTCCCAGAACTGTCTGACTTGCAAGCTTGTTTCTCTCACCAACAGAAGATAGTCCAATAAAAAGTAATCAAATGGACAGGTTCATATCATATGAATAAAAAAAGAATACAAATATCTCTCCCATACTTCAGAATGTGTATGCAAATAATTAAAAAAAACTATAGTGCACAAAAAATACAATCCAAAGAATTGAACTGTAGTGTTACAGTGGGCATTGTTTAATTCAGAGTTAAATGCTGATTTGTTTTTAAGTCATTCTGATATAGTGTTAGCCAAAGACAGGCATGGTCATACCCAGAAGCAGAGACAAAAGAGGTTACTTTAAGTTGTAGATATGCAAGAATTAAAAAGTAACAAAAAAAATTACTAAGATTTCCAGTTTACTGGATATGAAGTTATTTGATAGTTGCTAACTCTGTAATAGATTACACAGTTTGTTTTATGTCATGTGAACTTTGTACCAGGCTATTCTGAGTTCATAAATATGCGGAACTTCATACAAGCAGCCCTTGAAAGTCAATGTCTGCAGATTTTACTGGTAAGAAATTTTTCCATTTGTATTTAATCAATTACATTTTATATAATATTAACCAGAGGCTGAATCTTTCATAACACAGATTTCAGGGAAGCTATAAAGAAAACAAATTTTAAAATCTAATACAAAAACAGGAGTATAACTTATTACATTTATAATTGGTTATAATTCCTACAAACCATCAAAGTAACTTAATGTGAAGAAAAGTTACGTACCTTTTGCCTAGCCATATTCTACTTTTAATACACATTTGCTTTCTAAAAGCCACTGAATAGAAGTGTGCAGTTGGTTTACTTCACTATTTCCAACCAAGCTTAATTAGTGAAGTTTACTGAGATATAACAATAACTCTGGGAAAGTATCTTGGTAAATTGAAATAAATTATCAATAACTTATTAAATCATAATGGCTCTAATGGTGTCTAAAGTCCATTTTTTAAAAACTACTTATATTTGTATTTATCTAGTAAAGGAAATTAATATATGTTTTTAAAATAGGCATTCAGCCATATATGTGTTAACCCAGAAGACTATAATGGCACTAAAGAAATAATAAATGTAAATAATACATGTAATGTATACTTTTCAAAATTATAATGCACAACAAAATAGGCACTTTTCTAGTAGGTAATAATACCTAACAAAATAAGTATAAAGGACTACTATTACAAAGCCCTATCCAGTGCATGAGCTTTGCAAAGTGCACAGATGTATTATGTGTAGAAAGAATGCCATGTTTATAGATGCTAATTTTTAACTGGCACAAGTAACTCTTTGCACTTTGATTATCTGAAGATGGCTAAAAACCTACAGTGTCAGTTGGTAATATTATTGTGAGTAAGCGATAACTTGAACTACTGATTATTTATTAACTGAAAGTTGAAAACTAATTACCTGAAATTCTAGTATGTAGGGTTAGATTTACTTTTATCTTATAAACATTGAGCACTATTACAGTGCCATAAAGAAGGTGGAAATCAAAAACGTAGCATTCAACTTTACAACCTCTGCTTACTCTGCGTAGTACTGAACACATACAAATAGTCACTTTGACTTCTATAGTACATTGTTATTTGCATAGCTCCCAATGTGTACACAGCACTGTATTGTTGTGGAGCCAAGTGTAGACATGCCCTTAGTGTCTGTACATACATCTACAACCACTACACTCTTAAAACTGCCTTAAATGGAGGACTTATTCATGCATCAGCTTCAACAAATCCTGCATCGTGGCAGGGGGTTGGACTAGCTGACCCTTGTTCCCTTCTAATCCCATGATTCTATGGCCCTATATTCTCTATAGCAAACAAATAACTATTTCTGGGGATCTAGCACTAATTTATTAAAAGGTGAATTTTGACCTATCCTTATTTACATCATGAGACTCCTATAGAAATGCCAATCTAAGCCATCAATGCCTTCAAGACGTGTGTCCCAATTGCAATTTTTTCATTAGAAACATAAGCCGTATGTGCAATTTTACTCTTTATTAAAGGGACTATATGGTATCTCTGCTTACTTTTGTTTAAGAAGATTATGCCTCCTGTAGCCCCCTATTTGTCAGGGTGCCCAAGCAGGTGGCACTGTTAAACATAGTTTTCCAAATTAGTTTTCTTAGGGCGTGAGCAAATGTTCAGTCTTAGGAAGGCATACTGTGTTATTTTTTGTTATGCAGGGTTTTGAGTGGAAGCAGTAGTCCTTGGAGAGTGAGCAATGTGAGCAGCAGAAAAGTTTGTCTATCTTGGTCTCTGATGAGAGTCAATTCTTGAGGCAGAGTTACTCCCAGAAACCAGGAACTGGGGTTGGCTGCAGTTCCTGACAGAAGAGATGGCCTGCATGCTGTTTGACCACCTCTCTTTCCGGACTGATGCATGTGTGTAAATTAAATAAGATATACGATGACTGTACTCAGACTCCTCATCACTGATTTCTCCTCCACTGGGAAGGTGACCTGCAAGGCCCTGAACTCTGCAAATGCTCAGCAGAGGGGCAATACTGGTATCAGAATGGAACACTTGTGCTGGAAGAAAGGGCAGTCACATTAGAAACATGCTGCAGAATCTGCCATCACAAGTAGGAGAAACAACTGATTTAAAATTAATCCCAAATGCAGGAAGTTGGCCAGACTTCTCTTTTTCAATCCAGAAACAAAAATTGCAATAGAAGAGGCTTACTATGTGGATTACTGTCATGGAATGGGGACACTTTTTGCCCTTTGAGTTCCTAATACTGAGGTCCTCACTGAGCTCTCACAGTGATTATTGTAAGAATGTAGAAAAATAAACAGCATAGTAATTTAAAATATAAATGCCCTGTATTACAGTAGGGAAGAAAGGGAGAAGCAAAGCCTGCTGGCCCCAGAAGTTGCAACTACTATAGTGGAGCACTGAAACTGATCCTCAGCTTGTGTAAATTAGCATAGCACCATCCTTCACTGCCCCGGACTATTTTGATTTCCGTTATTTATGGCATGGCTGTCTAGACCCTTCTCAGCAGTCTTGCAAGTGGAATCCATCACTTACTTGTAAGTGGGGGGAGCTATGGCGGGCACATGACCTCCTCATGTGACCCTCCACGTGACTTCTCCCACCCTGCCTCCAGCCTGGAGCCCCCACGCTCTCCCCGTCCCCTCCCCATGATCCACCCCCCCTTACCTGGGGATGCGGGAGGCTCTGTCCTCCTCCCGCTTTGTCTTCGGAACTGCAGCTGTGAAAGGAGCAGCTCCTACAGCGTGGCTCTACCACCCCAGCTCTTCCACACAGGGTCCCCTCCATCTGTATAGCAGCCCCGCCAGATGACAGGGCTGGGGGGAGCCGGGCTGGAGGCGATACAGCAGCCACACCAGAGGAGCTGCCAGCGTGGGGCTGGACAGTGGCCCCATGTTCTGCTCCTTTCCCTGCTGCGGTTCCTGGGAAAGCCCTGCGGTTCAGGGCTCTCCCGGGAACCACAGCGAGGAAAGGAGGAGAATGCTGGCAGCTCCTCTGGCGGCTGTACCGTCCCCAGCTCTGTCCTCCGATGGGGCTGCTGCTGGGAGCTGGAGGAGACCCTGTGTGGAAGGGCTGGGGGTGGAGGAGCTGCTGGTGAGGGGCGCCCAGTAGCCCCATGTTCTGCTGCTCCTCTTTCCGGTATGCTGTACCAGCTATAAATATCTTGCCCTACTTGCTCTGATGCTTCTCGGACAATAAAAAGGAAGCCTCTTGCAAACAAACATGATGTTTGATGACCAACTTGGGGAGCAACCTTCTTTCTTGCAATGCTTCCCAAAAATTGGAGGCTGCAGAACTGCAACAGAAAAGCCAGTCTGAAATAGAACATGAACAAGCTTGCCCATAGCATTCCAGCATGTCCTAGTTTTGGCCAGGTTGGAAATTCTGCCTGGGACTTATGACACATAAAAAGGTGATCAAACAAAGCAGGTTTTGTGTTTGTTGTGGTAATGTCATATTTTTGTCCGTCACAAAAGACTCAGGTCTGTGTATGAGGAATGGCTAAAGGAGCAAGTTGGTTTTTATTTTATCTGAACAGGTTCACCCATTCCTCACAGAAAATGTATTTTAAATAGTTAACTAATCTGTAGTATTAGTTAACACCCTGAAGCCAGCATTGCTCTTCACAGCCATCAGTACTATCACTGTAAATCAGGGGACTTGGCCTTGTTCGTTCGTTTTTGGTGACCTGTTTTGACAGAGATTATTCATTTTGTAAAAATTACCTCAACAGAACTTTTGTCTTAGCAGTGGGCCAAAGTAATCAACACACAAATCTCATTAATAAGTAATAAGCAAGAATAGCTTTTTTTGTTCTACAAATAAAAGCACACAAGTCATATTTTAATATCAGTAGTCTTACCTTTCTAATGCGATGGATGTGCCCTCTCTCCCCTGCCACGGCAGCCCCCAAGCTGGTGCTGGGAAGTAGTGGGGTCTTTCCCCGGCAGCTGCAGCCCTGGAGCTGGGGAAAGCAGCCCTGCATGTCCCAAATTCCTCCCACCTCCTTTTCTCACCCCACTCCCCCCTGCCACCTATCTCCCCCAAGGCCACCACCTCACCTTACATGCGAGTCTTCTGAGGGGCCAGTCACCTAATTAGCTCCACTAATTAGGTGGGTGGCCCTTCATTTTTTCCCTTTTCTCCATTCTCCACCTCATCCCTTTCTGTTGTTGTCTTATGAAAATCTCATTGCATGGGGTGATGGAACTATGCCTTTAAAATAGTTCCTATTCCTCGTCTCTCTTTTGTTACATTGTTTGTTGAGATTGTGACATCAGAGGTTACTCTCCCAATGATCACAAACGCTTTCACACTTATTCATTTGGATATTATGAGATTATTAGTTAAAACACCTTAGAACTATTTTTTTGAATAAAAACATTTGGAAACATAGGAATTGCCACACTGAATCAGACCTGAGGTCCATCTAGTCCAGTATCCTGTTCTCCCCTCGTCAATGGAGTGGTTTTCTCTGAAATACCACTGGCGTGGCAACAAGACTTTAGAGTCACCGAAAGACCTGTGCACCGGCACACAGGACCAAAAAAGCCCACAGAAAAACGACCAAAAAGCCTTCTGCTAGCCCACACCTAGGGAGCATAAATAAACAGTTAAATATTTCTATTTTGATAGTTCTTTATTTGGATCAAAATAATCAGTAAAATTTGCACTAGTGAGCAGCTTACGACCCTCCAAGATCTAGACTTTTGGATTTTAAATGTGTAATAAAGACTCAAGGACACAACAGCAGATGAGGAAGCCTGAAATGATGTGCAATTCAACTCTTAAACAAGTATACTTGGATCTTTTATTCATATATATTTTTAGATAATACTGTAAGTATGGATATGTAAGCATGTATGACTTTATGCTGATGAGCACCATTGAAGTCAATGGAGCTATGTGAATATACAATAAGGGCATAATCCAAAAGCTGTTGAAGTCAATGTAAAGAATCGCACTGACTTCAAAAGACTTTGGTTCTAGCCCTAATGCCCTTGACCCTTACAGCTTA